AGACGATTTTGACTCTAAAACTTAACACAAAGAGACGTGATTCTCACCCTTATCCGGTGCTTCACAAACTCGAAATTTAGGCATTTCTTTTTGCTAGATGTTAAATGTTTTCAACTGTAAGATTGATTGTAAGATTTTTATTTATACTAGCTGTTGTCAGGTGGTACACTTGGTGGTCTTTTAAAATTTTTCTCGGAAACTTGCTATTTTTTACGCGACCCAGATAATTCCTAAAGCGGAGCGGTAAAGGGATAAGATATACCGATAGTGTCTATGGTCGCTTTATGCATAAAATTATTATCCCAGATCTTTCACTGTTATTTTCAAAAGAGTTGATATGGGTTGATCGAGGAAGTTAATCTGCGAGTCACGGATAGCCTTACATTGCATATCTTGCGAGTGCCTTGCGCACACACAGCCGTATACATGAAGTAAATTAATTAGCTTAAATGAATAGTGTGTATGGTTACACAGACAGCAGCTGCTATCGATGTACTTGATCTAAGGACAATAAACCTATACGTCAACAAGCACGTATATACCATAACTTAGTTGTTGTAAAAGAAAAAGAAGAATATCAAAATCAATATAGCTATTCCGAAAGAGGGTATTGGATTAAATATTATGAATTGCCGATTGTCGAACGGAGATTTGACGACACGGAAAGGCGTAATGGGAGATAATTACTGTATTAATATTTATATAATTCAACAACAAAGTTTCCTCGGCTCACAATGGTTTGAAGCCATAGTACCCGCCGCTGAGGAATACTATCAGTGCATAGATCCTAATGCTTCAAAATTAATACTAAAATGATAATATAATGATATGAATGTTGAATGATAAAAACAATAGAGCAGTTTAAAAACATGGAACTGCGTTCTTGGGTGACTCTTATTTGTTTTCGGAACATCCAGCTTCAGCGACAACTATCACAGAATATTTCCAATCGATTCAACTATTAWYTAAACATAGTTTGTGGTAAACACTGGCTTCATATAGTCCACACATTTTCAAGCAAAGGGATCCAAATAACCAAAATACTGTCTGTCAAACAGCATTGCCATAGTCCCTCCCTTTCGGTCATGCAAGTTTCCTTCGACAACCGCCGTCACTGTTCTCCCTGATGACGTTTTTCGAAAATGGTGTATATTTAAAATACAATAAAAAGTGTTCAGTAGTATTCTTACGTATAAATGCTGTATTAATTCGTCCATGGCAACATTCTTGGAATTTGGTGTGTCTGCCTTACATTATCAAACCTCGTCCACACGAGTCCAAAGATTTTTCTTATAGAAATTTTCGGACAACGCTACTGATACTGTGGAAACGCATGGACGCTCGCGGTTTCCGAACAAAAAACATTATGAGGATACAAAATCTATGATATCGTGTGGAAGGGGCCATAGTGTTATAAACAACTCATGAATTACTGTTACCGAAGCTCAGTGTCGTGTAGAATATCTTTTTCCCCAAGGAATTCACAGCTTCACATTGATAAGATCCACTATCACTTTGCTGGAATCTTGTTATGGTCAGTTTCCCGCCATTTTGCTGACTTCGTTTTGTAGGAAGGGTACCAATCACTTTATTCCAAGTGATAATGGGTGGTGGGTAACCCAATGCAGCGCATTTCAAATTCACAGTACTCTCTTGAAGAATTGTTTGGAATGGCTTCTGTACCTCGGTGAATCTAGGTGGAACTATGAAACAAATTATGTCAGCTGATTAGCCAAACACGTTATTGAAAATATCTAACCTGGGTTACGGCTCGAAAAGTGAGCCTGCAGACAAAAAACTCAAATAATGAGAAAAATTAAAAAAAAACGTGTATTGAATAATATAGGTTAGCCTACGTTACGGTAAGAAGTCCAAATATTTGCGTTGTTATTTTTCCTATCTTGTTAAAATTT